ATTTGTTGGCAAATTTGAGTTTCTGCACTAAGATATTCAAATTGTGGACCTTCAGAGTACTTCAACTACGCTAATAGAACCATTAACTTATTATAAAATTATGTTGAATATAAAGTAATTAACTTACTATAACATTATATGCAAATAAATAACTTACATTTCCCTCCCTTTCATTCTTTCTTCTCCTTTCATTTCCATAGCTTCACTTTTTTGTTCTATCATGCATCAAAGGAAGATATCACCTTCCGTTGGCTTTTTCATGACCTGGATTTGTTCAATCTAAATTCTCTGTATGGTTCTTAATAATGATTCCCATTCCAACTAGTGGGTGTTCCATCTCCTTCCCTTGTTCCCTTTCATTCTCCTCTCCCCCACTTTCCTCACTTCCACATGGTCATTTACATTTTTCCTTTCCACTGTGTTCTCAAATTCACCTTTCTCTCTGTTTACACTTTTTCAGTTATTTGTCTCACCCTCTTCAATCTGTTGATTGTTTGCACAATCCCAATGAAGGGTCAATTGGAAAAAGTAGTTGTACCCTCTATAATTCCCCCATAAACCACAACTTATCCCCTTGAAAAGAGAGAGAGACTCCATTCACTGTAGATCTTCAAAACATGATTGCCATTCTTATGGCTAGCAAGTTTTGTTAACTCTTTCACTGTTGATCAATATTGACATTTAATGTGTTGTTTGACTTCAGAGATAACTTCTTGAGATTAATAGTAGTTCATAACGCTCTCAAAACCTACTGTTTCAGGCTCTGTTGCTGACATAACTTTTTCCCCTAGGCCAGTGGTCTCCAAACTTTTTTGATCGCGCACCCCTATCAGTAAAAAATTTTTGATCACTTACCCCCAATATATGTATATATATTTATTTATAAATTATATACATGTACTACTCGCATACCGTATGTGACACGTGACCGTCTGACATACAGATTGAGTGAGGGCACCAGTGTCAATCCGTATATTAAATATTAGTAAAGCTTAATTTCTTTCTTCTTTTTTTAGATAAAAAATAAATATAAATAGAAGTTCTAATAATTTCTTCCCACACCCCAATGGATCGTCTTGCGCACCCCCTACGGTGTGTGCACCCCACTTTGGAGACCACTGCCCTAGGACACACCTTTAAGATGATTTGACCATTATAAGGGTTAGAGGCTCAATTTTAAATTTTAAACCAAAGGTGAGATTCTGGAGTGCAAAACCCCTAAACCTAGTTTGTTAAATTACAGTGAATTGGCTCAGCTACATTCCTGGGTCCCAACAATTCACTTCCACTCCACACGCACATAAGTTCATCTGATCTGCCCCAACTAGATCTTCTCAGCCAAAGCTTTGTCTAGCCAGGTCTTAAAGACTTCCAAAGATGGAGATTGCATCAGCTTTCTGGTTAACCTGTTCCAGTGTTTTACTACCCTTCTAGTGAGAAAATTTTAGCTCATATTCAGCTTATTGTCCACTGTCTCCTCCAGGTCCTTTTCTGCAGAGCTGCTTCCCAGCCAGTCAGCCCCAGCCTGTCCCAGCACATGGGATTGTTCTGTCCTAAGTGCAGGACTTTCCACTTGTCCTTGTTCAACCTCATGAGATTCCTTTTGGCCCAATCCTCCAATTTGTCTAGGTCACTCTGAATCCTAGCCCTGTCCTCCAGCACATCTACTACTCCCCTCAGCTTCATGTCATCTGCAAACTTGCTGAGGGTGCGCTCTATGCCAGGTTCCAGGTCATTGATGAAGACATTGAACAAAACCGGTCTCAGGACCAACCCCTTGGGCTCTCCACTTGATACCGGCTGCCAACTAGACGTCAAGCCATTGATTACTACCCTCTGAGCCTGATGCTCCTGCCAGTTTTCTATCCACCTTACAGTCCTTCCATCCAGCCCATACTTCCTTAGCTTGCCTGGGATAATGTTGTGGGAGACCGTATCAAAACCCTTGCTAAAATCAAGGTACACAACACCCACTGGTCTCCCCACATCCACGGAGATAGTTGCCTTGTCATAGAAGGCAATCAGGTTGGTCAGGCATGACTTGCCCCTGGTGAATCCATGCTGACTGTTCCCAATCACCTTCTTCTCCTCCAAGTGCTTAGAAATGGATTCCTTGAGGCTCTGCTCCATGATTTTTCCAGGGACTAAAGTGAGGCTGGATGGTCTGTAGTTCCCTGGATCCTCCTTCTTCCCTCTCTTAAATATGGGCACTATGTTTTCCCTTTTCCAATCATCTGGGACCTCTCCTAATTGCCATGAGTTTTCAAAGATGATAGCCACATCAGCCAACTCCCTCCCCCAGCACCCACGGGTGCATCCCATCCGGCCCCATGAACTTAAACATGTCCAGTTCCCTCCCTTATACAATTCCCTCAGTCTTCCTTTCATATCAACATACATTTGGTATCTGATGACTTCTTCCATTTATCTGATATCAAATTTATTTTCATGATGGAGAAACACTACGGTTTCTCGAATCTAAAGGGCAATCACTTTAACTTTAGTCCTCAGCCTGTACCCCACTGGATTTGTGCAGGCCTCACAAGTGCTTTATAGAGCACTAACTCTGGCGGCACTAGAGTCTTTGGTTCAATGGCTCTCTCTCCTCATAAAGGATGGAATAGGTCAGATAAGAGAGAATCTCCTCTCTGAACAAAAGGAAATTAAGTCCAGGACTTGACAGCTGAATTTACAATGGTATTTTTGATACAGCCAGGTCAGGCCAAGCTGATTACCCCATTCATTGTACAGAATCAGGCAGGGTTGATAGGTAAAGTAGAACAAAAAGTGGTTTAGTAACCTAAACTAAGCTAATAACAGATAATATGTATTTTCCTAGAAGGCAAGTGATAGAAGTAGCAACTGATGCCCATATCAGCAACAAGGTTCAAAATAGTGGTTGGGCCCAGGACTCTGTTCATAACCTCGGGGTGAGAGACTGTAAGACAATGGTTCCTACAAAGTTCAGAGTTCACCCAAAGGCAAACTTTCGCAATAATGGAGATCCATGCAGGGAATGCATAAGAACCTTAACTTCTGTGCTATTGTTTTTTGTTATTTTAATAAAATACTTACGAAACCTTTATGATGAAAGGCACTGTATATCATTTTTATTATAGAAAAAAGTGTCACAGTGTAGGGACCTGATCCACCAAATGGTTGTGTACTCTTGATGTCTCTTCAGCCTGGTCAATTCTAGTCCAAGCCTTACTTGCAAAAATTACTCTTCATGAGATTTCTAAATTGGAGGAAGGGCCATAAACAGAGCTCTTCAAATGCTGTCACTGTAGCATTTTAAGAGCTCTGTTTATGGTCCTTCCTCCTCTCTTGAAGAGTTAAGACTTGTTAAGTATAAAAATCATTAAGTCACCCAAGTCCATTCACAATTAATAATGGTAAATCCATCTAACTCCAGATGAGAAAAGGTTTTCTTTTTCCAGGACCTGTCATTTGAATGATTAAATCTCAAAGCAGGTGTGAAAGTGGAAAGACTAGTAAAGATGGGAGAGGACACACACACACACACACACACACACACACACACACACACACACA